CATACCATCGAAAGTCTTGACAGGGATGAAGCTTAAGAAAGTCAAGATGCTAGCAATACTCATACATGCAGCCACACAACCAGAAAGCAAGCCTTGCATTGCCCGTCGGCGTGCTCGGTGCGTCAACATTCTAGCTGGTAGCAATGTCTTGTGCCTCTAGTCTCTTCACTCAGCACGATATGAAAGGATGAAAGGCATGAAGGAGAACAACAATAAGTGTACCTGACAAGGGCATGAACAGTTTGCTAGCCGTCTGCAAAGAAAGAGGAACGAGAAATGACTACACTGCCATGGAGATCTGCTTGTCTCAGCAAAGAAGGAAGATAACAAGCAAGCACACTACATCGCAATCGTGGTCAACCAGGACCTCCACTACAACTTCCTGTACCATGCCGAGAGCCCCAGCTGAACGTGTGGGAGCGTGATTCCGAGAAAGGAGTTGGATGAGGTTCGAGATACTGGGGGGGTCGCCGTCGCAAAACACCAGGAACAGCCAAAGCGATCTATTTAGCGTGAGCACGCAGATCCTCGAAGCCAGCACAAGGACATCGACGTCGACCACAGATCTCCTAACAGTCTCTCCAAGCGTGTGGCTACGGTACAAGGCCAGCTCGGCGCTGAGTCGTACAGACTGGCCCGCTTGGAGAGCCAGCCATTGAAATGGCCATGGGCAAGTCATCGAGGCTGAACCATCTTTGGGGAGGAAGAGCCACAAGGAATGGCGCCCACAGCTCTAGCGAGCAAACCTCGTGCTGATTTGGCCGCAGGCGAGCACTCTTCAACAATCTGACCTTGGCTCGCTTATGCTCCAGTGCTCTGTTGCAGCAATATGCTCATGTTGGACAGCTTGCCCGGTTCAATGCCGGACAAGTACTTCTCATTAATTCGACATGACACTCAGTCTCAACAACCGCTTCTGTGGTAGCTGAGACTGTTCGGACACACCCCTCTAGTCCTTCGGACGAGTGATCAGTCGACGTGGATTTACGGTCTGCAAGGTTTAGGACACTACCTGCAGCGGAGCAATCCGCTCAGGTGCCAGAACCGGAGCTGGCCGGATGACCTTGGGCAAGTCATCTGTACGAAAACCCCTGGGGAGGAGAAGCCCCCGCCCAGCTCTCTCGAGCAAAACCTTGGCTGCATTGACCGCAGTCAAGGCACTTCTTAGTCAACCTTCACCTCTAGTCTCGTTGCCGCTACGGCGCTGGCTTGGCTGTTTGAGACTGTTTCACGAGGTTTCGAACGACTACTGGGTGTTAGAGACGATGGGAGCGTGAGGATGTGCTTTGGCGATGGACGTGGATGGACATTGATGGATGTGGATAACATGATGATGAAGGCTGATGGAAGGGTGAGATGAAGGAGCCGTCAAGCACGACTGGGGATGCGCAGGTACTTTGCGCTTCTGCTGGTGCCAAGTCTACCTTGTTAGCAATGTCATCGAGACTTCGAACAAGTCCGCATCGTTCGCACAAACTGAGAAGTCATCCGAGCTCTACGATCAAGCATTCCATATCGTGACTGAATGATAACTATGCTGCACTAACATACAACCCGCTACTGTCAGGCCAATTCCTTTGATGAGCAAGCCGCACATTGTCAGTGATCCTTCTCGCCCATCTCATTAGGCGGTGTTCCATGCAACGTCTCCTCATCCGCCTTCCTCCTCTTGCCAAGTTCGAGGTTGCCACTCCTCATATCCAACATCCCAGCAGGCGGCGCATCAAACGACACACCATCAATAACGTGCGCGTCAGATCCTTGCAGGTAAAAGTACCAGAAGTACGTGCCAACAAATAGTCCACCACCAACAATGTTGCCCAGCAGAGCAGGAATGATGCCCTTCCAGATATACAACCCCACTGTGACGCCCGGTGTATCATGCCAGATGCCCATGGGCACGAAGAACATGTTTGCGACGACTGCGAATATGTTAGCATAAGCGTAGGCGTATTCAAGAGATTGCTAACCGTGATCCAATCCCAAGCTCACAAACGCAAAAGTCGGCCACCAAATCCCCACAATCTTACTCACGAACTCCCGTCCACTCATGCCCAAGAAACAAGCCAGACAAACGAGCCAATTCGCGCCGATACCCCGCAGGAATACCTGATGGAAATGAGGTGAGACCTGCTTGGTCGTCACGAATGTGTGCACCTCGTCGCGGTAAACTGCCGTGTCAAAGATCCCACCGTACCCGGCTATTATAGCCACCATGAAGAGCGAGCCAACCAGGTTACCAAAGAATGTAAGCGTCCAGTGGATGAGCATCTTCGGGATCGAGAGGCGGCGATGGAGGACTGCGACTGTGGTGAACTACAACTCACATTAGCCTTTACCTCCGCCATCCATCGTCAACAAGTAGGACGTACCAAGAAAGAACCAGTACACAAATCACTCCCCGTCAACACAATCATACACAACCCATACGGAAACACCAGCGCCGCAATTGTCCGGATCAGACCCGGCGCCTCAGCCTGGTACCACGGACTGGCATTCGTGCTGAGGAGCGTCGCGCACGCAAAGGAAAGTAGCATACCCGCCATAACAGACGACATGAAGATCTTGTCGAGGCGGGTGTTGGCTTTTGCGGCGCCGGCGCGCGAGACGATTTCCGCCGTTTCGGCGGGGGTGTAGCAGTTGTACATGGTTGTGTCGGTTGTTGTGTTGGGCAGACCGCGGGTTAGGAGGAGGGGCATGAAGGGAACGAACGGGAGAAATGACACTGGATGGGAGATGGGGGAGCAAGGGTGTCAATATATCGGACTTCGTCTATCTATCTGCTCCATACTTGTGTCGTTGGGGGTGGACATCAGTGCCGTGTTCGTGGTATCCGTGTCGTTCATTGGGACGACAGCAATCAACGTCGGTGGCGCAGATCAAGCTTACTTAGCACTACCCCGTAGATAGCTGTCTGCTCACTGTATCGCTGTTGAGGCGCAAATAAGACCTTTCAAGCTCATTCGGAGCCTATCGACTGTTATCTCTTGCATATGAGTCTTGGCGTTGTGACGATCTTCTGGCTCCACTGATAAGGAGTAACCTTGAATGTCGGTGCGAGGTCGCACTGCAGCCAATGAGGAGATGCGCATTGGTTTGTGTTGAGCTGTGTCGCGACTCTGCTTGGCTGTCGTAGTTGTTGACCGGGGTCATATTCGTCGATCGTGGAGGTGGTTCCTAAGCTTGCGACGCGCCAGCCGCAAGGTGCTGCTGATATCGGGACAGCGGCACTGCGAGAACATCAAGTTCTCTGGCACAGAAGGTGCTATGTATTCTCGGACTGTTGGAGATTGGATACAGAGAGGTGAAGCCGAATGCGTTGTAAGCGTGCATTCAGTAGGCTAACAAAAGGTAGCACCAGGCGCTCATCCTGCTTCTTCCGTCTCACTGTCCTCTTGATCTTCCCTGTCCATCACTCTCTTCCATTCCTCCATCATGTCCTTCATGCCACCAGGAGTCATACTAGCATCGACCACATCCTTCGGTAGCTTGTGTGCACTGTACTTTGTGGCCGAGAACTGGTAAGCCTCCGGATCATCTCTCTGCACTAGCCTGAACTCTGGTACGAAGTCTTCGTCCTCTGGCTCGTCCATCGTCAATAGCTCGAGCCACGAGAATAGCAACGGATCGGTTCTCGGCGCCCATGGATTAATGTCAATAAGCCAGACTCGTTCGTGTGGCGGTGGAATGTAGACGTCGAATGTGAAGTTGGGATCAGGAAAGTCGTGCAATGTGTCTTCGAAGAACTCTTCGATCTTCAGACTGAAGTCGCTGCGTAAACCGAACAGGAAGTCGAAGTGGTTCATTTCTCGCTGGGTGATCGCGATCAACTTCTTGTCTCGTACGAAACATCGAAACTCTAGTGAAGGGTTGAGGTTGAAAGACTTCCGCAGTACTAGGTGGTATGGTACTTCCGCTGTGTCAATGCATCCATCAAATGCTTGCTCTAGATCATGCGAGATGAAATCGCTCGACTTGAGAAGGAGGTAGATCTCGTTTGCTGTTCTACATTCCATGTCATTCGTGCTCGAAATCCATGTCGCGTCTTTTGGCGCTGACCAATTGAGTTTCGGGACTACTTTGCCGCCTAGCTCGGCGATGGTGGATTTGATCTTTTCGTGGATTTCAGGCCAAGCTTCGGAAGGATCTTCTTCGTCTTCGTCGTCTGAATAACCACTATCATCGTCATTGCGCGTTGCTTCAGGTGGTAACATGATGCCATCCGATCTGAGGTAGTCAACGAAGGCTTGTGATAGAGGTATGAGTCGTGCTTTTGGTGTCTTGGTGCGATATTTGGGATGCCATGAGTGGAAGGAGCAATTGAGGATGTGCTGTGCTGTTGTTGGTGGGAAGGGTAATGTGGTATGAGGATTCGAGTCCGTCATGGCGATAGAAAGTACTGAGATCTAGCAATCGCTACGTGACCGTACCTTAACAATTTTGCTAATGCTTCGTCCAGCCTGGGTGCATGTGATGACGCGGTATGAAGTATAACCCTTGTTTTGCGTGTTACAAAGAAGTCTATAGTAAACAGGTCAGCAGTTTCGATACTGAGCTGTCCTAGCCTGAACTTGACCAGCAGCGGATTCGGCAGGTGTGGAAGCCTTGCGAAGATTCTGGTTCACGTGTTCCGGTCGCCACTTCCTTGTGATGAGTCAAGACCAGCAAAACATGCAAGATTCGAATGGTGCTTCTCTTTGTATTTGCTAAGGAGTAGACTTCTCCCAAAGAGGTTTGCGCGTCTCGGACTCCTGCGCGTTTACACAGAGTCGCTCGATGCTGGCATTGAATACCCTCCTCCAGCTCTTCCCAAAGACATCGAAGTATTACTCCTGGCTTATCGTGTGGAGCGTCGGGAGTACGGAAGGTATACCGGATACACTAGTACTAATCTGGCCGAACCCTGACTGACGCCGCACAATTCAACGATGTTACATCGCAAAATCGTGAAATAGGTCACCAAGCATTTTCCAGGCACAAATGAGCTCACAGAGCTTCTGGGGGTTGTGGTCTAGTGGTATGACGTTTCCTTAGCATTCAGGTTCTCTCGAGGCCTGGAAAAGGTTCTGGGTTCGATTCGTGAGTTACCCTTCTTCATCTTCACTGCCAGCTACTACCAGTGCTAACTCCAATACAGCCAGCTACTCCACCATCAATATCTGTGATTTCTTTTTGATTTTTGGTAGCTGTCTACCAGCAGAGTTCCCTACGCACCGTCGCTCTCGGGCATCCGGAAACACCAATATTGCTCCATATCAGCGCACGGAAAGGGCTCTCGCGAAGCTATACTTTTGCGCAGCGTTACAGAGAATCACAAACAAGTCGGGAGGAACGATGGTATGGCCCGTAGCCGCACACGAGGATCTTTGTCTGCAGAAGATATCTTATTACTACTCGCGACACTATTTTTGAGGCTCACAGAAAGGAGGAATCTCGATGTAATCCCCACAAAAGATAAGCTTCCCCAAGGAGGCTAGAACCACGTTACTTCGGCTCAAGCTACCCAGTTGGGCAAGCGATATCGTTCCTCGCGTGACTTGACATTTGCTTATTCTCAGCTGTGCCGATAACAGCTCTCTACCTCATCGTCGTCAGTTGCGTGCTTGCTCTTCGCGCTCAGGACGGCCATAGCTGTGCTGTGATCACCAGCATATTACGATACCCCTCAGCACCATCTATCTAGGCGTCACTTACAATACCACACCATGCGCCGCCCCTCCCTCACAGAGCGCGCGTCGAGCGCCCGCGCCGGCAGCGTAGACGCACAAACCGCCGATGCAGCCCTCGCGAAGATGGGCTACAAAGCCGAACTCCCACGCTCCCTATCTATGCTCAGCGTCCTCGGATTGTCCTTCGCGATCATGGCCGTGCCATACGGCCTCAGCACGACCTTTTACATCACGCTCGTGAACGGACAATCTGTGACTATCATCTGGGGATGGGTGTTGCTGAGTCTGCTATCAACGGCAATCGCAGCATCGCTAGCCGAAATCTGTAGTGTATACCCGACAGCGGGCGGCGTGTACTACTGGGCTGCATTGCTATCTACGCCAAAATGGGCGCCCATTGCGTCTTGGGTGACGGGTTGGTTAACCCTAGTTGGAAACTGGACCGTCACACTGAGCATCAACTTCGGCGGCGCACAGCTGATCCTCTCCGCGATCACTCTCTGGAACGAAGACTTCGTCCCCAACACATGGCAGACAGTCCTCATGTTCTGGTGCGTCATGCTTTTGTGCTTTGCGATTAATGTGTTCTTGTCGAAGTATCTAGATTTCATCAATAAGCTGTGTATCTACTGGACTGGAGCGAGTATCATTATACTGCTGATTACGTTGCTTGTCATGGCGAAGGCGGGCAGACGAAGTGGGGAGTTTGTGTTTGCGAATTATGATGCTAGTGGGAGTGGGTGGCCGACCGGGTGGAGTTTCTTTGTGGGATTGTTGCAGCCTGCGTATGTGCTTACGGGCTATGGGATGGTTGCTGCTATGTGTGAGGAGGTGCAGATGCCGGAGAGGGAGGTTCCGAAGGCGATTGTTTTGTCGGTTGTAGCTGCCGGGTTGACGGGGATTATTTACTTGGTACCTATCCTGTTCACGCTTCCGGATATTGAGTTGCTGCTTGGTGTTGCGAGTGGACAGCCGATTGCAACGCTTTTCAAACAAGTTACGGGCAGTGCGGCTGGTGGCTTTGGACTGCTGTTTCTCATTCTGGGTATCTGGTTGTTCGCAGGTGTGGGCGCGTTGACCGCTGCGAGTCGCTGCACATACGCTTTTGCGCGCGACGGCGCAATTCCTGGCTCAGGACTTTGGAGCAGGATCGACAAACGCTTCGACATCCCACTCTGGGGCCTCGTCCTCTCAACCGTGGTTGATTGTCTCCTCGGCCTCATCTACTTCGGCTCAACCGCCGCTTTTAACAGCTTCACCGGAGTCGCCACAATCTGCCTATCAACATCCTACGGCCTTCCAATTCTAGTATCAGTCCTTCGAGGCCGGCAACATGTCGAGCACGCCTCATTCTCACTCGGCAAATTCGGGTTCGCCATCAACATCACGACGCTAGTGTGGATCGTGCTGGCGGTGTTCCTCTTCTGCATGCCTGTCTCAATCGATGGCTTGACTGCAACCAGCATGAACTACGCAAGCGTGGTCTTTGCCGCATTTGCATCGATCAGTATCTTCTGGTACTTTGTTTGGGGAAGGAAGAACTTTTCTGGACCAGCTGTGCTGAAGACACTTATGACGGATTCTGATGTTGGTGTGATCAAGGGACAGGCTTTGACGGATGCTATTGCGAAGCAGGAGGCTGGTGTTGCGAATGACGAACTGGAGAAGAAGGCTTCGTAGGTGCGGCTGAGATATGGTGAAACGAAGAAAGGGATGATGCTGAATTGTGTATGTTAAGACCCAGTAAGGAGATACTATTTGAGGACGAATATGTCAGACAGTACTGAACGGATGTTCGATCAGCGAACGAAGACGTAGGCTGAGCGTGACCAGTGACTTGTATTCATCTCTGTGCCCTCACTCTGTTCTGCTTTTGTGGCCAAGTGTGGGTCGGAGCGAAGCTGATTGTTACGGCGACTCACAAAACTATCTACAACAAGAATCATTCTCCGGCTGATGTCAAATTGAAGAAAGTACGAGCTCGCACAGGTGTACACGCGAAGCATCAGCGACTACGACTACACCGTTCAAGCGATAGCAGTCAGATGCAGAAGGCGTGAGAAGTTGCAATAGGTGGGTAGCAAGTACGACCATGTAGGATGCGTCGGTCTACAGCAGACATGGAATGGGAAAAGAGCAACGGTACATCGGAAGTGGTGTCCTTGGCATATGCCTCCTTGTACTATGTCACAGCTTTCTCAATAGAGATATCGTCAAAGAATACAGACACATACTGGGAGCCTGGTGTTGCAATGCAGTCCATCACAAATTCCAGATCTCCACTGACGCTTGCAGGCACGAAAGGTATAGTCCTTTCTATCCACACTTCGCTTACATCGTCCAGCAACTGGAACGTGTCAACAACAGCCCCTGCAAAGCTAACGGTGAGTGTACATGGATCGTCTGCGGGAGCATAGAACACATTGTACGCGTATGACAGAGCTGGCGAAGGAATGTCAGATACGTTTATATCAGCTTGCTCGAAGGTGAACCGGAATGGTCTTACCCCATCACACAAGAGGAACACAGTGCCATCGTTTGCGAAATCCGAATCGACTCCGTCTATCCATACTCGCTCACCTATTGACCAGCTGGCAATGGTATTGGGACCTTCCGCAAAGTAACCATTTTCCAGACCTTCCGGGATCTCTTCGAAACCACCATTCCTGACGTGTGTTGGAAGGGGCACCGGAGTCGTTGTAGTAGATGTCTCTGAAGTCGTCGTGGCCCCTGACGTCGCCGTCGTGGTCTCTAAAGTCGTCATGGTCTCAATAGTCGTGGTCTGCGTCGTTTTGCTCTCAGTCGTCTCAGCCGTGGTCACAACGGTGGCAATAGTTGTTGATGTGGTTTCAGAGCTCGTGCTCATCGTTGTGGGCGTGGGCTGCGAAGACGTCGACGTCACAGGTTCAGAATTTGTTGTGGTCGCTCCTCCGATTGTGGTAGTGGTGGGACTTGCGGCATCAGAGCTTGTCGTTGCTGTGCTCTCGGAAGTGCTTGCAGTTGTTTCTTCCGGGGTTGTCGTTGAAACTCGCGATGTCATGGTTGCAGAAGGGGAAAGTGTAGGGCTATTCATTTCGTACCTGGTGGATGTGGAAGAGGTAGTACCCCTTGTAGCTGTAGTACTTGGTGTAGTCATACCTGTGCGCGTGCTTGGCTGATCCGCAGTGCTCATAGAGCTTGGCAACAAAGTCGTTGATATTGTTGAGGTTGTGGAAGGGCTGGTCGACGTGACTGAGCTCGAGGCAATTTCGTTGGAGATACTGGAGCTTATTGCCGGTGATTAACAGGTTCTGAGATAGTCGAGCTCGATACTTCTGACGATGACAAGCTGCTTGTGCTCCGACTCGAAAGAATGCCGTCATCCGTGTTGGTATTAGATGTTGTCGATCATCCAGTCAGGAGACCATCCTCTGTGTTCGTATTCTTAGTCGAAACACCACTGCTTGTGGACAAGCCTGTTGTCAAAGTCGTGTTGAAGGTTTCGGCCGCATATACAGTCGTGTATTCAGTAAAGGTGACCGTGTACAGATAACTCGCGCAGGTTGTTATAGTTCGCTGCGCTGCAATGCGCGTAATCAGCAATGGGAAGGCCCAGACGCCAAACAACATCGTGGCTCTGACAATACGAGACCTGGAACAAGCGACGGTAGCTTCGAAGAGTGGTCAGTATATATCTGTATATACGCGCTGCCTTTTATCTTGTAGCTTTTTATGTCCCAACATTCCGCATAAGTGACTCTGAGATAGAGGTCAGTGCTCAATACGAGATATGAACGTAGGCCTAGAACGCACCCCCTAGCTTAGACCAATTCATGCACCCAAGACACAGTGACTGCTTCCACTCATTTAATGATTCCATCTGGCCACGCGAGGTGATCATGCCACTCAACAGGAGTCAACTCCTTGATAGTGTCAAGCATGTACCTCGCCCAACCAACCAAGAACCAGGTATCTTGAATCTCACCCCAATAGATCAATACGCAGTAATGCGCCAGGATGACCAGTGCCTCGGGCTGCTTTTCGCTCAGCATCTCGAGAAATTTAGGCGGGAGGTTGACGCTCCAGACAAAACTCGCGAGGACTGTCCCTTCACCACGTTTTCTGAGTATCGAAGCTTGCACAAACGTAGATAGCAGAGCGTGAATGGCTAGTGCACATGCTTGCGACTTTTCCTTGTCACCGAGGTTGGTCGGGCTGCAGAGTGGGAAGAGATCTGTAATGTGCTCGACGTCTTCGATGTTGTGCGAAGTATGATTCTCTGCATAGTGCAATTCGTCTAGCAGCGGTTTGAGGAAAGACGATCGAAGGCGTTCACGGTACAGCTTGAGCACCTCATTGCCACCTCGAAGGAGATAAAGCCAATGTATAACGTCTGCTTGGAAATCGGATGCTTTCTCTTTTGCTGCACTAGCGAAGGAGAGCA